TTCATTAATAAATTATACAAATAAAAGTACATAATTCAAACTATGTTTATAAAATCATCAGTTTTGAAAAGAAATTATACACATGGGAGTACATAACTCAGAAACATGTTAAAAAAACAATAAAAATACAGCTTACTATACTTATATTGGAATCACTTATTTTGAAATTAGAATTAACTACCGTTTTTTCTGTCATATTCTCTGCACTGAAATAGCGGTTATATTGAAATCGGCTAATTGAAGTATCGCTTATATTGAACCCACTGATCGGTAGCAAGAGGTGACGATGAGTTGTTTTCATTACGATTATATTGAAGTGCTCCACGGCACTGCCGTTACAGTTAATTGGTGACAAAATTTATTGCTGACTGACCAGTTGATATACAAAGGTGTGAATAATAATAGTTTTCACCTTGTTGTGTTTTATACTGCATGCTCTTACGAAATAAAATTATTCACTGTTAAATTATTTGTTTCCATGTATATAATACAGACATATTTAGGCTAAACGAAATACAGTACTTCTCACAGATCTAATTAAAAAAGAACCTAACTTAAATCAAAAGTAAATACGTACAGTTAATTGCTATTGATAAGCGTAAATTCTCGAACAAGCTATCGGATTAACCCGAGTATACTTTCGATAAATTACAAGCAGCGTTCAGATCAGTATATATGTGCCACATTTCATTTATGTTGGTGCTTTTAAAAAAAAAATATCCAAAGGTTTGAGAAAAAATTCATTGACTCAGACCGAATGTAATTTTTATTAGCCAAGAATTTTAGCGGAATCGGAAATCAATAGTAAGTACATAAGTTAACATATGTAGTACTTGCTGGGAAAGAAATGATCTAATTCAGTTTGAAGAAAATGGATGTGATGGATTCTAGTGATGCATTGTGTGTAAATTTTCATTATCCGCTTTTTCAGATTCTTTGGCATCATTATGTACATGTCCGTTGTCAAGTTCCAGTCACTGGACAGGTATTGGTCATCGTCACCCTGTTAAAGACATTATGTCCCGTAACAGATATCAGGCCATTTTGTCCTTCCTACTAGTAATCCAACCAGCAGATATTGACAAAGGTATTCTTACATTTGATGTGGGTGTGCATGTATTATTAAAAAAAACATCAGTATGATTTTTAAAATGTTCAATTTCCTTAATTATTGTCATAACCCATATGAAAACAGATACAAAAATATTTTTTCTTAAAACAGGCGAGAAACTAACTAGAATACAGACACTAATTGACCATGTACGAGACACTTTGAAAGAACTGTTCCAGCCTTTTCGAGAAGTTGCAGTTGACGAAAGAATGGTGGCCTCAAAACACACATACTCCGGAATAAGGCAGTTTGTGAATGACAAGCCAGTCCGATTTGGGATTTAGCTTCGAGTTGTTGCTTGTAATTTGACCGGTTAAACTTTTGGTTTTTTGTGTAAAAGGTCTTACATTTTAATGACATTATGTAAATCTTTCTTTGATCAAGGTTACAAAGTTTTTACAGCCTGTTTTTACATTTTATCAGTACTTGGCAAAGAATTGTTACAGAAGAAAGTTTATCTTGTTGGTGTTTTAAAATCATATAGTTTATCTATTCCTAGTGAATTGAAAGATGTTAAAAGTTAGGAAAAAAGTTGCAAGACGTGATTTTAGATGGCATCGCGAAAATGAATTTGTTTTTGTTCAAAGGAAAGTTTTAAAAGAAGTTACATTATGTCACCTTTACATCAAGGTTCAGCAACAACTGTTTGTGATAGAATATTGAAATCAAGATTATCATGGGATAAGAAAGAACTTGTACAACCTGTTGTAGCTAGAGTTTATGATTTATGTATGGGAGCTGTAGGTTTGTCTAATCAATGAACTAGTAAATATCCTTCTAATATTAGAACACAATTGCACTGGTGGAATGTACTGCTTTTTTTTTCATTTTCTTGATATTATTAATGTTAATTCTTACATTTCATTTCAAGAATTAAAAAAAAAACACATGAAAAACTGTATTCAAATTGTACATCAACTTTTGGGCAGCTTGAGTTCCGTGAAGTACTTGCATTGTCTCTTATCAGGTTAAAAGACAACCCTTAAGTTTCTGTGTCAATACAACTATCAAATGTATTCCACAGGTATTGGATAAAAGACAGGATTGTGTTTATTGTATTAAAAAAGACATTTATTGGAAAAAGAAAATTACATGTCATAAAACTTTAATTTACTGTCCATGTTTCGAGGTTCCTTTATGCTTGACAAAGGAAATAAACTGATTTGAAAAATGGCACAGCAATGACAGGATAAGTGTAAGGAACTGTGCTGATAATTTCTTGCTAGATGTATTCCACTGTACAATGAACATTGTTTTAAGTGTCATGTATATTATCTAAATTTTAAACTAAAGTATTGGCAAAATTAACATATAAGAGAATTTTTTATTGCAGTATTTATTCTATGAAATGTGGCCCGCCAAGCAAAAACCTCCCTTAAGTGACTTTTTATCGAAATTTGGTTTTTTGCATATTCTAATAGGACATGTCTTCCCATTTATAAAAATGATATGGAAACCTAGTTTTGTGTTTAAATAAGCTCTCTATCATGAAGCAAAGGGCATGAAATATTTTGACCTGACGTCAATTTCTTCTGGCAACGTCAAACAAAATCTGCTTATCATAACGTTATTAATAAGAGAAACGTCAAACTGTGACCCCTTCAGATAAAAGGGAAAATTCGATAAAATATTTTTTTTTAAATAGACAAGATTCAAACTTGTTAAAAACCATTGCGAGAGCATGCATGCGAAATATTTTTTTTTTAATTTTGATGAAATTATATTTGATTATAAGTGAAAACATTTTTCATAATATAATTGTATCATTCTGGATTCCTTGGATGTCTTGTTATTTCACTACTCCTCAATATCAACAGGAGGACAGGTCGTGTCTTTCCACGGATCCTGAACAAATGGACGGATTCTTTGATACAAATACTTCTGCCTCTCTCTTGTTAAACCACCAGGTAGGATTGTCCTGGGACGAGCATTTGTATCAAAAAATTCAGGATCGCATTTCAAGAGTTTGAAAGGAATCTCTTCGTCGTCATTTGATTTTCTGCAAAGCACGAATCCGGGCATATCTTTGGTAAATCTAAAGTGTTGATAATCCCGAAGTCCTTTCAGAGGAGAGAACGTTGATGAAAAGAATTCCATCCAATCTAACCACATCCATGTTTCCTCCTCCTCAAAAAGAACGGCATTGTTGGAATAGCAGGATTTGTCCACAATATTACGTAAATCTGCAATACTGTTGCAATCTGTCCGTCTATACAGACGCTTGATGTGTGCAAAACTTGAATCAACTAGACATCTACAAAATTTAATGATAATTTATATCAATTTATTTGTTTCAGAGAGTTGATAAAAATGGTTTGAACAATGGTGTTCATTTAAAATTAAAAATGAAGGGTACCTTGCGTGACCTGGAATTTGCATCATGAAAGTAATTTGCTGATGAAGTCCCTGGAGAACTCTCCAGCAAAAGTACGCTAGCACATAGCGATTCTTGTTTTGTCCTTCATAAGAGAACAGAATTACATATTTATGTATGGATTGAATTTTTCATTTTATGATGATTCATTTTTTTTTTTTTTTGGAAAAAACCATCACCTGCACAATTATCTGCATGGATAACACAGTTGATTTCCCCAAATCCAAAATTTAGCAGAGCGTGATGCAGCATAGAGATCACTGCATTGGGACCATGGGTTTTAGAGCCATTTTCACCTACAAAGATATTGATATCTTTATTCAGTGGATAATTGTTAAATACATTTCCTAAAATAGACCATATAAATTCAATTCATATTAAAAGTAACAAATATATCATTTTATTTATCATCAATAAAAAACAATCAAAATGTATTACTACGATAATATTAAAATTTCTTTGTTAAATTTCAAAAGCATATCATAATCATATATATACTATAAAATGTAATTGTATTCATATACCGATGGTTAATCATAATCAATTATATACTATAAAATGTAATTGTATTCATATACCGATGGTTTCATTCTCATTAATGAGGTAATTGTATTGTCTTGGTACTCCATCCACCCTCACCCCAAATAACTGTACTTTACGTGGAACGAGAAAATAGAGGGGTCCCATTTGTCTTGCATGATGAGGAATAAACATCTGCTGGGAAAAATCAAAGGTGTAATGGACCTTAGTGTAAGGGGATGAGCAAGGAATTGAAGGACCATAACCTCGTCTGACATTTTCAATCTCTGTCATCGATTCCATTACAGCTTGCTGATAAGCTTGTTTTTCCTTGGCAGCTCGTTGACGGTGATCTTGGAATGCAGTGGTACACCTGAGCTTTTCAACGTCACCAACGGCTAACCGAATGGCATTTCTGTGTCTCTCACATATGTGACAAACGTCGGTTCGTGGTGTACTGATCTTAATATGAGGTATACATCTCAACCATACATCTTTAAATGTAGATAATCCTAGCGCCTGTGGCGACTGACTACTGATCCTGAATATAACACTGTTTTCTGGTTTCATATTTATTTAATAAACATGATAAACAAGCACATAAACATTCAACGATCTACCTTTCTATCTTCTGCTCAACTTACTTCCTATTTTCTCAACAACACAAAAGATAAACAAACGGACAAAAACGGAAACGGACTAAAAAATACACCATAAACTCTGACCGGACAAAAACGGACACATAAATAATTACACTTATGACATACAATAACAACGTCAGAAAATCATAATAAAATAGAAATGAATAGGAAATTAAACATTGTTAATGTTAACACATTCACAACACTCCCGCGACCAAAAATGAATCATGGTTTTAACCAATCTTTGATCTTCTCTACTGCTCTACAGGCGGCTTGTCTCTTAGGTCTCTCTTGTGGTGAGTCTCTAGCATCCGCTTCTGTTTT